GAAGGAGGAGGAGCTAGTTACAGGAAATCAACAGAAAATATAAATGAAAGGAACAGTTCAAAACCACAAGAAAGACATCAGTGTTGGTAACTTATTTTCTCCAAGCATGATTATCAGCAGCTGAACATGTTTTGCAATTGTGAAATTATATTGACTAGTAAATACAGGAACTCTAAAAATATTTATGGTTACTCTGTAAACTTGTAGGCCAAGAACTAAATATCTCCTTTTTAAGGCAAAGAAAAGGTTTATTCTCATAATGGTCTCTACCTTAAAGATAAATCTTTAAGCTAAAGCTATAATCTGTTGTTCTGAACATATTATTTCCTTTTAGGAAGAAACAATAAATTGGTTTATAGCTTTGTAGTATCTGAATGCTTTAGTAGATGAGAAGCTTTCAAAGCACATAATGAATTTTAGAGATCTGGTTTTAGTATGTCATAAAAAGAGTACATAATTTCTGTGAGTAGAAATCCTCATACAGGTGTGTGTAGATACTGGTAAATATAATAAGAACTCACACTGGTGGATGGTTTCTTACTGTTAACCTTTTTTACTTTTAATAACAGCCAAAAACTTGGCTGGTTTGGATCTTTGCTTAAGAGGATTGAGCCTCCTATGTCATTTACTTTCATTTTATTAGGGAGACCTACCAGCTTATGTTTACCTTCATATGCAGTATTTGTTTTCTTTATCTTTGGTTCCAGTTGGTACAATCAATTTGTTATTTATTCAAAAAATTAGTGGGAAAAGTAGTAAGGGTTGGTGTTTGGGATTATAAAAACAGGAGAGATACCACTCAATGGATATTCTTTGCATCATCACATGCATCTCCTACATCACTCTTGTTGGAGTGATGCAGTCATTCTGATACCTGAGGGGAATACAGTCTTACAGCTGTCTGAAGCAAGACACTTCCTATATATCAATGCTTTATTTATGTATTTATGGAACAGAGTTAGAATCCTCAGCAGATGGTTTTGTTGTGATTAGTAATAAAGACCTTTACTCATGTAGACATACTTTTCTGCGATTGCAGTCGTGGTTCTTGTACTCAACCAGCCTGGTGATCAAGGGTGTATATGCCCAACTCTTGTTTCTTGAGGTGCACACTTTACCTCCTTAAGTTTCTGCCTGTTGCTAATCAGCAATTGCTTACCCATTTTTCAGATGAACAGCTAATTTCTTTTACTGTTCTTTCCCTTTCTTCCATCCTGACACATGTAACATGAATCACCTTGTTGCTTTTTACTTGGACAGTATCAAATTTGCATATGGGTGTCAACAGGAAAACAAGCAGAGAATTTCTGTTCTCTGCAGGGAGGCAGGAATGGACTGGGAATGGGGAATAATTAGATCTGGAGCCTGTTTCATTTAGCCACCAGAGGACTCTGGTTCTGAAACAGGCTAGCACAAAACAGGAGTTAAAACTGGAGTTAAAACAGCTTCCCTGCGACCTTGGGACCATGCAGCATCTTTATATCCTACAAAAATTATGCATTTATCTTTTAATCTCATTATATAAGCCACTGCTAGAATTTGCTTGTTTGTATTTTTTTTTTAATCTAGCTATATTGCTATTGCTCATTCTTGTTGAAAGCAGTATCCTGGAGACACAGGTAAGAGACGAATCTGCTGAGCTGCAGCTTCAGCTTCTTGCAGCACCCTTGATTTTTGTAGGTAAGTATCAAAAAAAACTTTTTATTACAAACACTGGGAAAAAAAACTTGGGATTTTGGGGGTTTTTTTTTTTTTTCGTTCCCCTTAATTTTTTTTAAGGGGTTTCGTTTTTTCTTTTTTAGGTTGAATCAGAATCACAGCAGACTTAACTTCGTGCTGAGCTGGATTCTTTCAAGCATCCAGATCTCAAAAGTTAGCACAATTTCTACAAATGTCTTAGGAAAATATCCTTTAAATAATATTTTTAAGTTATGATTTTTAGTCTTATTAAAGATGTATGTTAAACAATCAAGTGTGACAGTTTCATTTAATGAACCTTTAATGGCCCTGGGCCCATAATTATTATACAAAAAGGATATTTTCTACAGAAACAAACTGTTAGAAAAACCTTTTTGCTATAGATGGAAAGTAAAAGATCTGTATCTCCAGGAAAAATGTAAATGATGGCATTTGTTTTGAGCTATTTTAGGGGAATGTATAGTGAGTAACTAGCAGTCACAGGTTTGTCTAATCTGAATTCCTGCATTAGAAATAAATTAGTATAAAAAGCATATGTGAATTTAAAAAGTTGATGCTTGCCTGGAGCTTTTCATTCTGGAATCTGCCCTCAGCATCATCTCCTTGGCCCAAAGTAGTATAAATTGTTTGATCCTTAAGGTATGTGGTGAGACTCACTTGTTTAGTAAGATTTAATGGAGGCTGTGCCAGTGTAATATTTGAAGACATGTTTGGATTTAGAATTTTACATAAACCGTGAAAACTACACACATTTAGTGGATCTGTGGAGTTTAATTATTTTTTTTTAACTTCAGCTAAAATGTTTTGGAGAGAGAGAAATTTTTTATTTTATGTGAAATTAGGAAAAAGAGAGAGCTGTAGATAATCACAGTAAGTGTAGTTAATGGAACATAGCAGGCAGAGGGCTGCAATTAGTAGCAAGTTGAATAGATGACAGGCTCTAAGAAAACTGATATGAAATAATAAAAAAATAGAAGTGGTGCAGTTTATGTAAACAAATGTAACAAGGCCTTTGAAACAGGCTTTGAATAAAGGCTATGAGATGTTCTTCTGGTAGTGGTGGGGAGGTAAGGCTTTTTTTGATTTTGTTTGGATTCAGTGCTGGAAAATGGGAAGAACAATAGGACTACCAGTTTAATGTTTGCACCAGAAAGTATTGTTTGACACTATTTGTTTCCAGTTATATGACTAAAAAAAGGGGCCCTGTCATACAGTTGCTTAAGCTAACTGAAATGACTAGCAAGGAGCATCCAGAATTAGTCCACCCCTCTGTTCATTTTTAGTAAATACAAGTTTTATGGTGAAACATTCACTGTCTTACCTTACAAGTAAATCGATGGGCAAGTACACAGCCCTGGGTAGTTTCACATTTCCATAGTTTTACTGTGAATTAAGCCTGAAACATTCTATCCCAAGCATGCTCCACCCACACCAAGGATGGTCTACCTTGTGGTGCTGTTGGTCACTGACCTTAGTAACAACATGGCTTTGGTTTGGCCTCTCTGATATTTCTGTTTGGGATCTTATGACTGTGCAAATTTGTAGTGACAGTGTTTTCAATTCTGAGGTATCAGAGTTGCAAATTTCTTAAAGATACCAGTCCTAATTGCAGAGTGAAGGATGTGAACAGTGTGTGAGCTTTATTTGGCTTTTATATTCCTTTATTGCTTAGTGAGACTGTCAACACCCAGAAATATTCTGTAGCTGCAAAAAGCAGCCCATCCCACCACAAAAATTCTGCCTGGGTCTAGTGCAGTCTTCTGCAACTTGCATGCAGGAAGATTGAGGCATAAAAGAAAAGGATCATAGCATCTTGTAAGGTGCAACATGTAAAATCCATTTCAAGATGAAGGTTTTTTCTGCTGAACTCCATATAAGTGTATGGCCTCATTTGCTAGGATTTATTTTGAAACCTGAAGACAACCTAGACATGTACCAAAGCTACAAAGACAAGTTCTGTGTCAAACTATTACAGCTTGACATTCATGAGCCTATTGTTCAAGTGACAGGACGGTAGCTGACAGTTGCAGGAAGCACAGTTTATCACAATGATGTGAGTATTCTGTTACAGTCACATGACAGAGTCCAAAGCAACTCTTCTCCACCAATTCCTGCTGATAAATTCCCCTTAATTCACAGCCTGCCTTCCCTTCTGGTAGTAACAAGCTGCCCTTCATACTGGAGGAGTGATCTGCCACCGGAGAATGCTTGATTGTGTCAAAATAATTTGCTAACCATCGGCAAGTTTAAGGAAAATTATAGGAAAAACAAAGCAAAAAAATCCTTCATAAACACAGTGTATGCAAAGGACACAATTTTGAGGTTATCTGTTTATTCACTGAAAGTACAGCCATTTCCTTCCAGGAGACCAGCCTGTTATCCAGCCACTAAACACTCAAGATGCAACTCAATCAAGGTAATTAGCAGTTTTCTAATTCGTTTACTTCATGTAGCATCTAAAACACATTAGATGACCTGAAGAAGAAAAAGAAGAGTTTTCTTGCAACAGAGTTTTCTTTATAATGTTACTGGAAAGTTGGTTGCAAAGAAGAGACCTTGAGACTTTCTGCAGAGAATTGTTGGAACAAAGTGATTGGAGAATTATCTCAAAATGAAAGAGCTAAATCAATCCTGACAAATAGAGTTTTGCTGCATATGATGACACATTTTTACCATTGAAATACCCCCATTTTGTGTTCAGATATTTTCAAATCAAGTTTCTGGTGTTGAGAATAGATCCCTTAGAAGCTCACTTCAAAGTTTTCTTTCATTTCAGATTGCATTGTCTACAATTATATGTTTGGATATTGCGCAAGGCACTCTGGAATGAAATCCACATCTTCTACAAAGTTAATATTTGCTGCCTTAGATACTCCTAGTCACTATGGCTGTCTTTGTACCATTAAGTAAAATATTTTAGATTATGTTCTCTGTCTCTGAAGGCCATGGCAGAGCATGGCTTGCATCCCTCTTCCTCCTCCAGACAAGGTAGTCATTAATATCATCTCCAGTGACAGCCTCTGCCCTGCGTTGTTCCACACAAGTGCCAGTTCATACAAAACCATGTCAGGGAAGGTGCTCACAATGGGTGGCTTGAGCTATTCTCTAGATTTTGTTTAGTTCACTAGTATAGAAGTAGCCTAAATAGCTGAACTGGATTCTTTTACATCCTGGGAAGTAATTTCTTCAGTCATGTGTAGAAACTTCCAAATTATACCATAGGCCTGCTCCGGTGAGGTGCAGGAAGTGGTGCTGGAGGAGGTTCTTGGCTGTCGCAGTGCTGGGTTTCATAGGTTCTGGACTTTAAGGCATTTCCTAATATAATTAATCTGTGTTTCTCTTTAAGAAAATAGCTTCACTGAATGTTCTTTTTTGAAACTAGTCTTAGTAAAATTAGAATTGCTTCAAATTGTGTGAATGAATTTGTGGAAATATTGGCAAAAGACAAGATTTGCATCTTTAAGCACTGTGAACTCATTAAAATTCTTCTCATGGATAATTAGAGTAAAGTGAATGAAAAAGAAAATTTAACAGTAAGCAGCTCTCAGACACTGCGACATTTCAAGCATGTTAAAATCAGAAAGAAATAGCTTTTGTAGCAGTAGTCTCCTCCTCTTGTATTACGTGTTGTTTTTTTCTAACAAATAGCCAGTTACTATTGGTTTATTTGGTTTTCCAAGTAGCTCATTTATGCCTGATCTGTACAGTTCTTCAGCATATTTGTGATCAGCTTTGCAGGATTTGTCAGCATGCCTAACAGTGGAAAGACTCTCACAAAACAGTTGCAGACTGAAAATGCAAGGAATGTTTCAGGAAGCTGTGAAAATGGGTAAAGTAGCTTGAGCATTTATTTTAACAAACTCATATACCAATTTTTCCCAGCTCAAGTTTGTCTTTTACTACTGTGCAGATCTACAGGAATTTTTTCTGGTATGTCTACGATCTAATGAAGAATAAGGTATATCTTTTGAGGCTAGAATTAGAGAAAATTGTTAATGAAGATTATAAATAGGTTTATTCTCCTATGCTGAATCCTACTTTGACTTTAAACCTAATAGCATAATTGAGTAGGGAATATGTTGCTTGTATCTTATTGGTATATAGGCTACACCTGTAAAATGTTTATTTTATAGTGCGGAGGCTATTTAGCCTCTTCTCTTCTGAATTTGGGGGAGTAATCCTCAGGTAACAATTGATCTTTGTGACAGACCATCTTCTTCCTGTGAAAGGCAATAGAACTTAACCAGGTAACCCATCTCTTAGAGGTGGGAGTGGGGAAGTGAATTTTAGAAGAGTATATTTTGATGTTTATGTTACCTTTTACATGTAAAATAATCCTGCTGGGTGCTGTCTCCTTTCTGTCCTAGGCACAAAAAAAGAACACGATGTTTCTTCTACCTGTTGATCTATCACTGGAATGGTATCTTCCAAGAGAGGAATCTCCCCATCTCTAGGGTTTTTGGAAGTACTTAAGATTAGAATAAGACAGTTAATGGGAAATAGTTTAGCTTCTGATTGATAGAAGTTTATCAGAATTGCTAAGTACTAATATCTATTTCCAGAGGTTGAGTTTAGTCTTCTGTTAAGTTAAATCTAACTTCACATCTGTTTAGTGAATAACTTGCATGTTATGTCTCTTGGAAGATTCTTCTGTTCTGGGCTTTGTAATCCTGGATAAAAATCATGAGGAGCAATCCAAAGACTGAAGGTTTTCATAACAGGAAGAAGTTTAAGAAATCTTTGAAAACTTTTGAATGTATTGTTACTTCTTGAATCCCAGTGTAGTTAGTAGTAGAAATGTCATTTTATGGTTTAACCTGTCTAAGAATCATAAACCACTATTTGACTTGTGATCAGTATATGTACACTCCAACTCATGAAAGTTAGTATTTTGCTAAGTTAGTAATAATGCCTCTATTTTAATCCATGCATGCTTCTATTTGTGACATATTATTAAAAAAAAATCTGAGTTTTCTTTGTTAAAGAAAAACGTTAAAGAATTTAAAAGTACAGTGGTTTGCATCCACTGCAAATAGGAAGTTTAAGCTTCATGTATTAGAAATATATTTAGCATTTGGTTTTTTTCTGAATTTTTAATGAAAGAATATCAGACCCTAGAACTCAAAATACTTTTGATACATTCAAAGACTTTGGCATAAAACTTCTGTGGTTTGTTTTTGAAGATGCCAGTGCATGTTGCCATGTTAAATGCTGTTGTTTACCTGGTGTGGTTTGAAGTTAGGTGGCAAACTTCTCTCGCTTTTTTAGTATGCTGGAAGTAGGATTTCAAGTAGAAAGGACTAGACAAAGAAAATAAAATTGTATAAAATGGAGATAGGAAAGAAAGATCTTATAAGGCTGAAATTGCATCAATGTGACCTAAAAAATGAAAGAGATGAAATAATGAGTTCTGTGTGACCTAACTTTGCTGCATTCCCTGCAAATAGTCGTAAAGAGACGGATACTGGGAGATTTCTGCTTCAGGTTTTTGCTGTGCAGGGGAGAACAGAGCCAGAAAATCTGTACCAAGGTCAGGTCTGGGTTGCTCCCAACTGCTGAATAGAGCCTTTTTGGGGGAGAATAAAAAAGGCTTGTTACATTGTTTATTTCTTCCCATTCAGCCATGAAGTTCTCAGCTACCCCTAAAACTGCTCTGCTCACCAAAATAAATGACCTGTTTTCTGAGGATATTTGTTCTTAACAAGAATAAAATATTCCAGTTCTGTTTTTTGCAAGTAAAGAAATAGGTTTTACTAGAAGGTGTGTGCCAACTGTGTTATATGATAAAATAGATCTCAGCTGCTAACTTTATCACTAGTACTTTCTTCTTTATTCAGCATTTGTTTAGCTTTTAAATATATCTTTATGAGAGAGTAAGTTGTGTGAGTAATTTGACAAAGACTGGTTTCTTGTGCACTATGAAAATCAAAGTGATTGTTGAATCAGCTCAGCCTTTTTGCAAGAGTAGGAACATATCTGGGCTGATCTGTGGCCCTTTTTTTAAGTCTCACGAGGGCATGGAAACCAATTAACAGCTAAATCTAACCTGTTCTTCAAGGGCAAAGGAGAACTTTTAAATAGAATTAGTAAGGAATGTATTGTAATATTGCCCTCATTTGAATAGAGGAGTAAATAAGATGACCAGTCATAATAGCAGTGTCCTGTAAAGGGCCATGGGGACCTCCTGTGACTCTACTCATTGTAGGAAAAATGTTACATTACAGAAAATTAGGGTTTAAAGAACTAATATGGTGTGTCATTATCGTGGGGTTTTTTTCCCTTATGTCATAAAAAATGAGAAAACATCTTCAGAACATCTTGGGTAACAGTTGGCAGCACCTCAGAGTCTGGAGATACAGTATTTTCTTGGCTGTTTCTATGCCAGTCTCTTTAGCTGCTGAGCTATCAAAGCTGTGGTGCTATGTTGATTTAAATCAGAGTGACTTTATTGTCTTTGTCTAGAACTCTAGGTCATATCTGCAATTCTGAATTTATTGTTTTGTGCTCATTTCTACAATCTGTCCCCAGGGTTCTGTTTTAAAATACTGGATTTGGTATTTTGGTCTTTTGTAGGATACATCAGGAAAGGATTTCTCATGAATGGGATCCAGATGAAGATATTTAGTTTCTGAAGTCTCTAGGCAAAATACCAGAATCATTACAGTTTTCAAAGGTTACCCATAAGTAATTTAAACCATTGATTTTTGCTGCCAGAAGAGTTGGCAGATGAATACTTAATGATTCCATCTTGAATTCAAATGCCCCAATGAGCTGTTGAAAATGTCTTAACGCCCAATGAAAAGTTTTTAAGAATGTACAGATGTAGACCCAAAACGCTCCCCAAAGCAACTCTAATGCAGGGCAAAGCTGGGTTGGCCTGGAGAACATGCAGCAAAATCTTTGAGAGGGGAATTCCTTAGTGTTGGAACAGAGATCAAGATTTAAGACACTTGTCACCAAGCCTGAAGCAGCACAAGAAGGACACTTGATTGGAAGAAGAATGTTTTATCATCCACTTTGTAGTGGATTCCTTAAATAATCAAGCCACCAAACTGCAGGAGTTTAGAGAAGAATTTCACTAAGTTGTCTTCAAGAAAAGCAGGCAGTGAAAGATAAAATCAAAGATAAAACTTAAAAAGAAGTTCTGTCTTGGAAAAAGGCATATTTTCCAGTTTGGCCTACTTTTTTTTATGTTTATTAAATAGGTTTAATATTTAATAGATAGGAAAGCCAGTTTAATAAAGAAGTGTTTGAGAACAAAATACTTGAGCAAATGGGGCTCTGCACACATTGCTCCCTAAGATAAACACCTGTGTGTTACAAAATATTCCTTTGGGAAAGGCAAGCAGAGAAAGGAGTTTAAAAGGTGGGGACTTTATTGTAAGAAGTATGAAGTAACATGCCCACTGCAGCATGAATGCAGTCTCTGGTGGTGGGTGAGCTAGTCGGTGACATGCTCGGAGGAGCAGCAAGGCAGAGGAAGGAGCTGCACCGGTTTGGATCATCACGGTGAGGGCAGAACAGTGCTGAGCCTTCCTGGGAGCCACTGAGTCTGGAAGCTGTGCTGTCAGAGCATCTCCAGGAGAAGCTGAATGGGATTGGTTTTGGAAAAAATCATGTAAGAGACAGAGAAATTGTATGCATTCCACAGACACTGTAACTGAGCATTTCCTCCCTATTGGGTGTGTTCTCTGTTGCAGACGGTCTGCAGGATAACTTATTTTGAAAGGACAAAAGCAGAAAAATCGTGTAAGTTTTATAATGAAAGCTTTGGAAGTTAAGTGGACCTGAGCTGCAGTAACTTGGTTGACCACAGCCAGAGCTTTGCACCTTGAATATACTGTTCTTCAGCTTATCTGGTAATGAGTGCAGCATCTTCAACAGTCACCATGTCTCATCCATTAAACCAGAATAAAAAATAATTAATTAATAAAAGTATTTTGCTGTATGGTGATCTCACATGTGGTACAGCAGTATCCAGGAGCAGGGTGGGAGTGGAGAAGCTGTCTAATGAAGAAACCTCTGCAACAGGAATACCAAGAAAGGGAGGAGGAGATGGTATCTTCATTGTGAATCTGACAGCACAGGTCTGGATGCCCAGGCTAGTGCTCTGAGTGAATGTGTGCTCTGAAACTACCCACTGCTTTCATGGCAAAAAAATGTTTGTTTGAGTCTTCTTTGTGAGCAGTTGTGAATGTGATTTCCAAACGTAAAAGTACTTTGGCTTGGTTTATGTGTGTAGAGGGTTATGAGTAAATATTCTGATGTCTAAAGGAATACCTTGTCCTGAACAATGTATTAACAATTTATGTATGTAATTATTTGTTAAACTGCTTATTTTTGCAGCTTTACAGAAAGCCTCTCTCTCTAGAAAGATTGATCTTTTAAATTTTTGGTAATTTCTGTAGAGAGCTGATTGGTAAAAACTTAACATTGACAAGATTAAAGGAGTTAAACAGGAATAGGATAAGGAATACCAAAAGAATGTGATGTCTTTTTATTTTTTTTTTTTGCTCCCATACGTAATCTGTTTAATGAATAGGTTTGCCTTAAATTTCATAATAATATGATGACTGCATAACAGTGTTCATATTCTCTTGATGCAGTTTGTGATAGTAGAAATTACTCTGCAGAAAGAAGGCCAAAATGTATCCTAGACCATAAATTTAATAGTTTTTAAATTTGAGAGAAAAGCTACAACCTAATTATACAGGACACTCAGTGTATTCTGTAAGGCTTATTTAAGTGTGAATTTCTGTAAAATGTTTTTTCCAAAGAAGAAAATGGTTTATTATCATATTAAAGACTGACTTTGTAGACTTTCAGGTTTTTTTTTCAGTTATATTGTTTGTATTTTCACTAGATTTTACTATGAGGAAACATTTTAGAGGACAGTAAATATCTGACTGTATCTGGCCTAGAGCATGAGATGTAAACAGAAATTCTAATTCTCAGAACAGGAAACAGAGCCTGTGGAAGAAAAAGGCTAATTCCAAAGTCCCCTAAAACAACAACAAAAAATTATGGAAATTAGTATCACAGTGAGTAGTGCCATTAATGACTAAGCATCATTATGGTAACATAATAAACAGTTTTTCTGGTGTGCAGTTAGCAAAAGAGCACTCATTTTGTAATTATAAAAGCAGAGGGATTTAGCTGTGGCGTTTAGTTTCCGTAGTTACAATAAGAAGTGGTACTGTATTTAGTGGTTTGTATCAAATACACTCAAACAAAACCAGTAATTGCTATGAAAGCAAATCCGGATTGGATGCTTCTCCTCTGGTGACTCACACCCAGGAAGAGTTGTCAGTTACATCAGTCATTATTTTACCTCACACATGCTTCCTGGGTTGCAAAGATAAATCTCACTAGAGCTGTTACAATTGTGGAAATACAGAGGGAAAGGAAGCTCTCCCTTTGTTAATCCCTTTGTTAATAGGCAATGTTTAGATTCTTGCTTTTCATGGTGGCCTGGTGTGTGAGAACAGCTTCAGTGTGGAATAGCACCCAAGGGGCACAGGGCAGTGGTGGGAGCTGCAGGTGGGGTGGGCAGTGTTGGGCTTTGCCCCAAACCTCTGGATAGGCCAGCCCAGCCTAAGCTGTGCTTTTGTCTCAGGTGAGTGCAGTGTGTTGAATTCAAGCAGTAGAGGAGGTCATGTTTGCTAGAGTGGTATCTTGAAATTAAAGCCCAAATTACATCAGGAAATACTGTCATTCAAAAATCACCCATGCTAATGGAGTTATACAGAAATATGCTTTGATTAGTTCTAGCTGGTCAATGTTTTGGAACTTTATCTCAGTTTTTCCTAATTGTTCAAGTGACCTCTACTGTTAAATTCTCACTCTGTGTGATTTGTAATGGTTTTTGCTTATTATCTTTGGAATTGTAAACTTGCAGAAATCAGATGCAGCAAGTCCACCTTTAAACTGGTAGTTGGATTTTGGAAGATGCTTGCCCTGCGCTAGTAACATTGAATAATTTATGCAGAACCTCAGTCTTAATGAAAAATTTAAGAGCCACAGTCCATATCTCTGAAGCATTTTGGTGTTCCTGGGGCATCTTGGCACCATGCTGTGGTTCTGCAGTGCCTTTTCTCCTTGCTGAAATTTATGCTCAGAAAGCTCTTGATCAGACAGCCCCGCCAAATTCTGCTCAGTTCAGTCTTGAACAATTCCAGATACCATAACCATTCTTGGATATTTACTTAATTGTTAAAGGAATAACGCCTAATAAAAGGTTAAAGTAGAGTCATCAAAGCCACATTCTGGCACTCTGAATATACACAGAAATTGTTGGAAGAGAAAATTTCTTAATTGTACTTTCAGGACAAAAAAACCTCATTCTCAAGTGAGCTGCTTCATTCATGGGGCAAGAACTATGTTGCATGGGGTGTTACCAACTTCAATACTCACACAGATACTGAATGTCTAGGGATCCTCATGGAACTTTTGCACATCGAAGCATTACTAGAGAAAGTCCAGAAGTTCAAGTGTTGGTTGGCTGGTTTTCTATAAAGAGAATATAATGTAAACTGAACCAGTATCCTATAACAGATAAGAATAAAGCAAGCTAAAAAGATAATAATCAGGGAAAAGTCATTATTGATGTTTATTAAATTTTTGAGTATCATCAAATGAGGCTCCTCTGATACATTATTAATCAGAGTAATTTTATTCAGAAGGCTTTTCTGCTCTTTGTTTTCATCCAAAAAGTTTCAGTTATCTTTGAACCAAGACTTAATGGCCAAGTTTATTTGTTTTGTAAAATAATAATAAGCTTTATTATTCCCAAGATATTTAAAGGAAAAGGTTCCACTGGATTGCTAAACATCAAATATAGTTTTTCTTTAAAGTAGGAAAAGAATCAAGAATTATATCAAGTGTTTTGAGATGGCAGACAAACATATGTTCTTAAGTTATTTCAGATGGGTTTTTTTTGTTTTATTCCCAAATAGGTCTTCCTGGTCTTTCATTCTCTCTTTGCAATCCCACTTCATTAAGTCACCATTTCTTCCACATATCAAACACAGGCTTACCTTTCAAAATGCAGGACAATCCCCTTCTATATTTAAATTACTCAGTTTCTCATCAGCATCTGCCTTCACCAAGCCAGTGACTATTTTCACATCCTCATTTTGCTTATCAGACAAGCCCTTTCATGTTTTATGCCGTTATGCCATTAACAAGAGAGAAAATATCCTCACAGGCAAGATTAGTGATGACTCCTTGTTTTCCTTCAGCTGCTTTTATGACCTGTGCCCTGCTCCGAGGGGACCTGTGGGGAAGAGCAAGACAGGAAAAGAACTGTGGTTGTAACTTCTGAGGGGTGAAGAGTTACATGGGATGCTGCATTACTGTAAAGGGGACACAGCTTGGTTAAGGCTTTTGTGACTAGCAATAATAAATTATCGGAGTGTCCCACATATTTAAGTATTTTTCAAGTGTGGTTGTTAATATGAAATGGGAAATAGTGCCTGATGTAGTGTTTGGTGCTGCTGTTTGCTCCCTGTCACCACTGTGTAAAAACTGCTTTGAAGTTATTTATTTGAAAGCTGCGAAGGGCATAGTTTCAACTTTTTTCTACATTTTGAGTTAATTTATTACACTGTGGAGGGGAAGGAATTTCTGGGCTTCACTCAGGACTCTTCTGTTGTACCTCTGGAGAAAGAATTAAGGAAATCTTAGCTTCTTCTTAGCCTTTAAAGGCTACCGATTCCCACCATTTTTTCTATGAAATGAAATTAGCTAAACTGCTGCTATTCTTGAATAATCTGTAGTGTATTGCTATGTTCAGTAATTTCTAAATGCTTATGGTTTAGATATTTTGTACATGGAATTCTTAGTAGTCTGTCATCTTACAGACTTTTTGGGCTGGAGTTTGTATTTGTACTTTAAACTTGGTCTGTTTACTTTTAGGAAAAGTTAATTTCATTAATGTATTAATGATAATTTGTTGTGTTGGTGACATTTTTGAGAATTATTTTTAGTAGTATTAGTATTAGTATTAACTAAATTGCCTTATCTTCCTGGCCTGAAAAAAAAAGCCCTGACTTCAGAGCTTCAACAGGTATCTGCAGTGACAATGTACAAGGTGTTTTTATACTATCAGTGTCAGTATGATCAGGGTTAAAATTGGTAACTCCTTCTTCATACTTGTATAGTTCATGGCCTCTTTGTGGAAGTTCAAATTTAGTGTCTGCATCTGGTATATTCTATGATGTTATAACCAAAAGCGTGAAATAAAGAATGTCATTCTTAGGGCGAGGCATTTCCATTTCACTAGGTCATAGTGGAGTTTGCAAAAGTCAAAATGTATGTGATAGCTCTGAACTTTCTAATTCCACCTGCTTGTATTTCAAAGTGTTTGCAAGCTGTGTTTTTGTTTACCTTTTGATATCTATTTTGCATATTTGTATGTTGATTGTAGTAGGTCCTGCTAGTGTTCCTGGATAACATCTTAATAGTTCTATTTGCTTTTAGAGCCTTTACAGATGCACAGACTGTTGGCAGGAATCTGCTACCTCATTTAGAGGAGACCCGGGGTGAAGGCATAGAGCCAGCAGGTAAGCATGTAAAAGATGATCCTTGGAAGTTTGAGCTCTTCTTATATTTTTTTTTCCATGTAATTTTTATGTCTATTCTAGCAAGTTTTGACTGACAATTTCTCAAGGCTCAGTTAATGAAAGACAAAATTAAAACTGAAGCAAGTTAGGACAGCTGTAAGTTTTTCAGGAGTTGTCTGCAAATTTGCATGTGTTTCTGCCAGTGTTCATCTGTATTTGAGATGATAACTAGATAAAAATCAAAAATAGCTTGATCCTATTGAGAATCATACAAATTGTTGTGTTACCTTTGGCATCACAGCCTACTCACCAGCTGTCACCTGGGGAAGATTTAGTGTGCAGTGTAATGACTGGAGGCTTTAAAGGAATATTTGTGCCTTGGTCAATTCCATGTTGCATCAGAGCATGTGCACACTGATGTTATTTATTTAATCCAACTGCAGTGCTGAATGGCTTGCCTGAATGTGCTACCATGTGGCTTAAAGGAGGTTTGCTAGCAAAACTTTCTGAGGTTCTTTGGAAGGTTTGCAGCCCTAAGAGAGTTCTCTGTTGCCTTGGAGAGGCTGCTACTGGTATCTGAATGTGCTCATTAAAACAAAATATTTGTTCTAGGAGAAAACTGAAGCAGTGAGCACATAGCTATCTGATCTATGTAGGAATCTTGCATGCAGATTTTATACATATGTATAAATATTTATCTGTATGGATATATAGTTACTTTTCAATGGGCAGGTCTTTGATATGCAGTAGAGTTTTTTCCAAGAAGTGGGATTAGGGATATGCTTTCAGTGAGCAGGAAATAAATGTGGATGAATAAAGGTGTAAACAAACTCCTGTTTTCAAATTTACAGGGTATCTTATTGTACTGTTTGAGCTACACATTCTCTGTGTAGAGTGTCACTGAGACTGTGATTCTGCAGAGTGCTTGTGTAGGCTCTGACCTATTTTCCTAAGAATTTATCTGGGACAGTGGTTAATGCTGTCAGCTGCCTACCTGCTTCTCTCGCAGAGGTTGCTGCTGGCTGCAGTTTAGAGAAGTAAGCTGGGCTGTAAAGCAGTGCTCAGGCAGGAATGCACATGTCATTCAGCCACTCCTGAGGGGTGGTTCCTCGGGGTTGATCACAGCCTCTGCCATGAAGGTGAGGTGAACAGCTAAGGAGAAGAAGCCATTTCAGCTGTTCCATTGTAATTTTCCTGCAAACACAGGTACACCTTATCCATTTTAATTAAGCAATTCCTTTATTGGTGTTTAGATATGTTTCTAGTTGATTAATCAGGAGCTTACAATTTGTTAGACTTTGTCTTCTACTTGACTTTGGGAATCTGTGGCACTACTTGTTATCCATTTAAATGGGAAGCAGTGTTTAACTTGGAAACATCATATTGCTATGCAGACACTGAGTGATGAAGTGAAGGCTGAATTTCAAAAACTCCTCCCAAAAGATCTTTCATGAGAAGGAGGTTCAGTGACTGGTTGCAGGAGGTCTACATTGTATGTAAAGAGAAAAGGAGGAGATTCTGATATCTTCTAGTTGTTCAGAACTGACTTCCTCATTTTATAATTAATACATTCTGCAACTTCAGGAGCAAATTTATCTAATGAGGACCACAGGTTGTTCTGGAATTTTTCCCCCATTTTTTTCTACCAATGTATGGAAGTTCATTCCTGTGAAAGCAGGCCAGATTTGGGGTTTTCTAATGCATATGAAAATCCAGAGTACCCTTACTGTTGGCAGCAGGCATTATATTAACTTAAAACCAGTGTGAAGTTAGAAGAGAACTCATCCATGCTGGTTTTATACTGATGGAATCAACAAAATAATTTGTCAGAAAAGAGCACTGGAGAGCAACTAGGACATCTTTCTGCTCACAGGAAGCCTTGTGGCTTTGTTCAGCTGAGTTTTGAAAACCTCCAGGGAAATTGTACAGCTTCTCAGTACCTCTTCTTAGGCTGTGTCACCTACATTGTGAAATTCTTGATCCAGCAAGAATTTTCCTTGCTGCAGCTCATGTCAGTTGCCTCTTGTCCTTCTGCTGTGTGCCTCTGAGAAGAATCTGTTTTCCTTGTAGTACCTGCTTCAGTCTTTGACACACTGCAGGTAGATTCATTTTTATCGTCTCCAGACTGGAGAAACACAATTCCTGCTGGGATTCTTGTACATGGTGTGCTCCAGGCCCCTGACTGCCTGGGAGTCCCTTTTTTGGGCTTGTGCCAGTTTGCTTGTCAGGATCTCTCTCTTGCACACTGTCTCAGAGGCAGTCTCAGGGGCACTGAGTAGGGGGAAATAATCCCTTTCCTTGGTCTGCTGGCTTAATCTTGCCAGTGCAGCCAGGGGTATAGTTAGCCTTCATCTCCATTGGGGCACACAGCTGACTGGCAGCCAACCTGTCCAGTGGAACCATGGGGGTTTTCCTGCTGAGCCAGCTGGCATCCAACCCATGCTGTGCCATGGGGCTGTCCTCCCCAGAGTGCAAGGCTTGGCTTCACCCTTTTTGAGCTTTCAGGTCGTGTCAGCCCATTCTTCCAGTGTGCTGAGGTTCATCTGGATGTCCTCCCTGCCATTTGTCCTGTCAATCACTTCCTAAAGTTTGCTTACTGAAGCTGGTGAGGGTGCACTCTATTGTCCACAACGACACTGCCATCACTGTACTGTGTCATTCTCACAAGTAACCCCTGAAGAATGTCATCTGGAATTGACTGCTAACAGGACTTAGAATTGCTGACCACTGTTCTCAAAGACTACTTATTCAGTTAATATTTTATTTACCTGTTCCTCCAATTGCAGCTGGTTCAAACTTTCCAAGGATGCTGGGCTATGTAGAAGTTGTCAAAGACCTTGTTAAAGGTAGAGTAAGCAATGTACTGCTGCTCTTACTATGTCAGAGATAGTCAACTCATCTTGGAGGCGAGTGGGCTATATTTACCAGGGCCAAGTCAAGGGTGGCCATTCTGGCTGGTTTCAGTCACCATTTTATAGTTCAGAATTATTTACGAGAGTTCGTTCTATAGCATTTCCATGGACTGAGTGAGGCTGATTGGCCTGTAGTTTTCTGTATCCTCTTTCTTCTGCTCTTTGAAGACAGATGTGGCATTTACCTTTCTTCTTGTGATGGGGACCTTACCAGATTGCTATGCTTTCTCAAAGATGACAGAGAGCAGCCTTGGGATGGCTTTGACCTGGTTTCTCAGTGTCCACTCTGAAGGAATTCATCTGGGCCCATCAACTCTTTTGTATGTGTCCAGTTTGTGTAAGTGGTCCCTACTTTGATGTTTTGCTGCTGTAGGTTAAACATCTCACCTTCCACTAGGCATGGAAGTTCAGGAAGCCTGACCTTGCCAGTAAATACTGAGGTGAAGAAGGCACTGAGAGCATCAGCCCTTTGCATGTCTTCTGTCAGTGAGTTGCCCACAGTATCACTGGTTCTCCCTCTGGTTGCCACTGTACCTGTAAAAGCCCTTCTTGTGACTTTTCACATTACTCACCAATTTCAATTCCAAGTTTTGACTTTCCATTCCTGCATGCCTGGGCAATATTTCTTACTGATGTTTCTTTCCGATTACACTCTCCACATGCTTTCATTTTGGTGCATCATAATCAGTTTTAGAAGCGTCAGTATTGTTATGAAGCTTGTTTTATACTTGTCCTGGTGCACCACTCCCTCCATGTCAGCTCATGGAGGCATTCTGTGGAGGGGATCTTATTTCTCTGGTCCGCACTGTAGGGGTTTACTGATGTGAAGAGCAGTATGTTTTATTGTAATTAATAATTGTTCCCTTTTCCTGCAGTGGAAAAAGTAGACATTTCCATTAATTGAAATATTTTTTGTGTGTTTTGGCTAATTTAAAAAGATTTCCTCTATTTATTGTTTTTTCTGTTAGAGAAGGTAAAATTGTTTATTGTGGAAAATAGGTAATATAGCAGAAAACCCTTTTTCTTCCCCAGCTGTGGCAAGGCAAGCCACAGGAGCTGGTTTGTGCATTTTATTAGAATAATCACTATGTGATTAGGCTGGCTGAGACTTTCAGGTTCATTGAAACTCCAAAGTTCTGAACCTTTGTTTAACCTGTTTATTGGCAGAAGGAGAAGTTTGACACAGATACCAAGTTCGCAGATTCTAAACAGTGTGTATTCTGCTCCAGCTCTTACTAAAATGAAGTTAATCTTTCAGGGTCACAGACATCTTGAAGAAAAGTGAAAAAGAGTGGGTGAGAGGAGGAATGGTGTATTTCTGTTGTCAGCAGAATGTGATGGCGTCATAGCTGTGGAATCTTGAATGGTGACTGACAGGAATGCCTCCAGCAAAGAGCTGAATTCCTTCTCTCATCATTAGGGCACAGTGATGTTTTGCAGCTGGCATATAATCAAAACCCTGTTTTGTGAGTTAATTCTGATTCATTTTCAGAAGTTAAATTACTGGTTTACTTCTTGCTTCACGGGGCATATCTATGGAATACCACTTGGAGTTGCTCAGATCATGCAGCAGGCCCATTCCACGATCAGCCTGTCTATTTATCTGTCTGAAAGGTGACCTTGGGTCTTTTGCATTTTATATGACTCTCAGAGCTGTTCTTCCATAAACATCTGAATTCATTTACATTCTCAAATCCTTTCTGGCAGTCACCAGAATACTTGCAGGTCAGGTAGTGAACAGAGAGAAGGTTTCACTAATGATAATTAGCTTTAAGCTGTAGGATTAGTATATTTCTCTTGATTTCTCTTGGTCCTTCATGTATCCCAGAGGTCCAGCAGTTTGAGCCAGATTGATTATACATGGGAAAAAATAAATTATTATTTCTTTGTCTGTTTAAAGTAATTTTTCATATCTGGACTTGTACCATATCAGAACTTACCATTTTACATGGTGGGAGGAATAAACTGACTGTTTTTAAAATTACAAAATGTGCAATGTGTTCTATGTTGTGTATAATTTCAAACTTGGTAGAAAATATCTGAGTGACAAATGTACTTTTATAACACAATATTCTCATGTAAATGGTTCATAAGTTTAGGATTGTATTGTAAAAGATCAGTTGAAAACTACAAGTGTGTCTTTCAAGGGGTTCTTAACTACTTTTTTCCTCCTTTTAAGCTTCTTGTTGAAAATTTACGCTTTAGTTCCCATCTTGGTGGGGAAACGGCCCATCTAAAATCCTGGGTATTTAGATCAGCTTTTCTTAGAACAGTTCCCAAGACAGGCTGCAGTACAATGATCCTGTTATAACTTATGAATGAGACTACCCTGAACCATCTCTTCCTTCAGCAGGGAAGGCAGTGAAATATGGAAAATGAAGTCTGATCATGGAGTTTTTGGCTTTGGAGGAGAATGACATAGGGGAAAAAATGTCCTTCCAGAGCTTCAGACAGTCCAGATTTTGTTACCTGAATAAAATCTCTGCTTTTCTTGTTTTGTCTGACAATATAGCCTTCTTTAAGCAGAAATGTTTTTGCAACATCTCTGACCTTCAGAATTCATATGAAGGACATGAGCCAAGGTCACATAGTAGTGGATGAAAAAGCATTTTGATTATGAAGTATAATGCAGGTAGAAGGAATTAGTGGAAGAAAGAGGAAAGGAACAACTACTCTTTGCTTGCATACAGAAAACTTTCAGTGGCATCAAGTTCTTTGAGCTGGAGTGCTGGGTTTTTTCCTTGTACTCTGTGAAGCTACAGTTGTATAACATACCAATGCTAAGAGTGTATACTGAGGGGTTTTATTCTGATCTCCACTTTGGTTTCAAGAGGTACTGAGTTAATTTCCAGCCTGGACATTGCAGTTTAACTTTCAGATGCTCCCGAGGCAGAACACCTGCTTCTCCCAACATTTATATATGTTGCATTTAGTATTTAGCTAGGCATTCCTTCCCAGGCACTTTCTACAAAGTATGAGCCCTCTTCTCAAAATCCCTCTGCAAACTGACAGAAGAATATATTGTTCATGTTCCATTTTTTTTACTAACTCTGGGCACAGATAATTAGAGTTTTAGAATTATTTGGCTTATTGAGATTTTAGAACTGTTTTGAGATTTGAGTTCTACCTGCAAGTACATGCAAAAGCAGACACTGAATGGTCATTCAGGTTTATATTTGTTTGTGCTGTACCTTGAGTATATTATTGTGATGCACAGAGTCTCTGGACGTGATTCTGTTCCTTGTCTTTGATATGAATCAAAGATGCCTTTTTAACAGCAGAAAAACCTGCATAAGACAAACAAAGGAAATCCAGTTTTCAAGTACATATTTGGTTTCTAGGTATAGATATTTTAGGGGTTTGATTGATTTTCATTATTCTCTGGGAGCAATGCTGTTATCTGCTGCACATCTGAAGTGAAAAGACACTATTAATGCAACTTCTATAATGTTATTGTAGATATTTTGCTAATATTTTCTGTTTCCTTTAAGAGAGGTACTCTTTCTTCAGGAATGTTTTTAATATAGGAACCAGAATGTTGTATTTTAGCTCTGTATGGTATGATTTTGTTTTGAACAGAGAAGTCACCTACCTGTGTCCAAGCACACCTGCAATCCCTGATACCTTTGTTTTGGAAGCTAGCCAGAACATCTATATATATAATTTTTCATCTGGGCTTTGGTGTGTCACTGCATACAATAAACATTTGGATTAACAATATGTTCTGTCTCTGACAGGTCTTACCTCTCATCCTTTTCACGCCTGCATTTGGCTTAAGTGCAGAAACAGCTCCTTTGCCTTCTTAATTCATTAAGTATTTATTGGGTGCTACTGCTTACACTTTGATAAAGTCTGTCTATTACCTGAATGCCTTCACAGCTATTTGTTTCTAAACTGTCTGGATTTATGATGCCCTTTCTCCACTGACCTAAGCACAGCTCTGCACCTATGTTTTGAAAATCATTATGTGCCATTTCCTCATGAGAAAAAGAAGGCATGGAGGTAAAGCAGCTTATTATTGTCATTAGCGCCTTCTGTTTGTCAAGAGAACAATGCAAATCTGCCAGCCAAGAGTGGGAATGGAATGAAATGCTTGAGCTTACAGTAGTTTGCTGTGCCTCTGGCTCTTGGTGCAGGCTGCAAGTGTGTTCTAAAGCACTGGTGTGGATCCAGCTATGGCTAATGTGTTCCTGTATTGCCACAAGTGCTCAGAGAGGCAGTTCCCAGACCTCTGAAGCAACTAGAATAGCATTGGAGAGATGTGTGATGCATGTTGTACTTTTGAACACTCCAAAACTGCTCTTTTTCAGCCGCTGAGGTAAGAGGAAACAGCACAGATACTAACCGAGCTTGCTTTACAGTTGTTGATTTCCATAGGTGTAGTAAAATACAATTATGCTTATTAACGTGAATTAGGAATTACAAAATGTACTGTTTTCTGTTACTCTTAGTTCTGACAAACCCAAGCACTTTGGTCTGATTTTTTTTCACTAGCTCACTGTAGAATATATCCATTTTTTATGCCTATGTTAAAAATATTGCTTCATTTATGAAAGTACATCTGAGGAAAAAAAATCTTAAAAATGTTCTTGGACTGTTTTTCCCATAAGTATGGGAACTGTTTGATGGAGGAGTCATGGGAGTGTCTGTGCTTTCCTTGTGAGAATTCACCTGAATTTTGCCACCTTATAACCCCTAGATCCTCTAAGGAGTGTATTCCTACTCAGCCTCTTGTAGGGTTTGTAAGAGCCAAGGACAGTCTGAGGCAGACACTTCTTTTGAGTGACAGGGACTTCCCAGTCCTTGGCACCAGTGGTTGAGAGCCAAGTGACATTTGTTGGTGCTCTGCATCTTTGTCCTGTCAAAGAAGGGGAGAAAAAAATTACAGGGAGAAAAAAGTGGATGGTATAAATAGAGTGAGGAAGACACGAACAGAAGATGAAAAATGGAACCATGGAACCAGGGCAAGACAGGAGTGAGTGGAATGGACACATTAGAACATGGGGCAGATGACCAAGGGAAAAACTGTGGGAAGTAGTGAGGAACAGGGACAGGATGAGGGAGAATAGCTGGAGGGGCAGGAGGGAGGGAAGAGTTATAGCACACAAAAGGAGCTTGGATACTAAACAGGGGCGGAGGTTTCATATCTTTTGGATCACTTTAGCCTTCTGATTCACCAGCTATTCCATTGGCACAAAGGGGAGTGCAGAGCTGAGCACAGGCAAACAGATTCTTCTGGAACTGCCGGGGTGCCTGCAACACACATATCATCAACGTAATTCTGTATGACACTTTCATTCAAGATGCAGAACAAAGTACAAGAAATAAAGATTTCTCTTTATACATGGTATGTTTGATAATAAGAAAATTGGAAAGCCCTTCTCTCAAGAGCTGGTAAGTGCCAGAGTTGTGCTTAATCCTGTGGTCTTTATTCAATCCTCTTCTGGTACACAGTCACATGGTATTTTCAATTGCAGATTACCTTGACAGTGGTGCTTTACCTTCCAGATTCTCTGTGGACTTCTTTTGCTGATGGCAGAGTCAGACTGAGAATAGATAACTCATGCCCACAGACTCCCATAACAGTTCATCAGATGTTCAAGGAGAGCCTGGAAAAATATGGATCCCTTAATGCTTTGGCCAGCAAAAAGAATGGAAAATGGGAGAAAATAACTTTTTCAGAATATTATTGCCTCTCTAGGAAAGCGGCCAAGAGCTTCTTGAAGGTAGGTACAGGAAACAAAATCAATGCCTTTGTGTTGCAGCACACGCTGTGCGGGGTGACTGTGGCAGGGGCGCGACTGTTCCCATGTGAGTTCTGCAATTCCCAGTTATCGGCACGGACAGAGCAGGGGCAGACAGTGATGGCACGGGGCTTGGGGTGGAACAAGATGGATTTATTCCTGGGCTCCCAGACAAGACTCGGGGTGGGGGGGGGGGTGAACAGAATATTTTTACAGCAGCTCAGGAGTAAGGGGTGTAGGAAAGTGAACCAATGAGGATATGGTAAGAGACGAGTATAAGGTAGGGCAAATAGCTTATGAGCCTATCAGGGAAAACGAGGGGGTAACAAATGGGGTGTTGAGGGCAAGACAGACACAGAACTCTCTGGAGAAATGGGTAGGGATAGCGAGAATTGACAACTTGGAAGGGAGGAAGTTAGGGAAGGGCTTGGGAAAATTGGCAACTGGGGAAGAAAGCGGATTAGGGAGAACTGGGAGCAAACATGGATTCAAAGCAAAACACACCATAACACCTTTAGTCTTTTTGTGTCCTTTGAAAACCCAAAAAACAAATTAATAAAAAACCCTCAAACCCCACAATATATAAGTGTTTTTCTGCATAATTTGAAGATCAGTAGTCATATTCTTTATTGAAATGATAATTATGAAAATGACTTTTGGTCAGAGGTAACACTGCTGTCAGGGAACCTTGACTGCAAGTGAGGAGCTGCTGTGTTGTACTGGGTCTCTGGGACATGGGTGCAGAGTTCAGAAGAGCTCAGAAGAGTTCAGAAGAGCAGCCTTAAGATCAGAAGAGAAAAATATGGGAAAACTACTATCATGAATTCGGTGAGATAAAGACAATCTTTAAAACATTCTAAATATAGGGTAATATTAGTACTCATTATGCTCTTGTTCATATTTAAATATTCTGGGTCTTGGGCCTTTCTGGACAGCGGAGTTCAAGCAGACAGGAGAAGGTAGTGGAAAATTCACATCCTGTTAATTGCTGATAAATACCAGGTTTGCTGTGGATACCAAAACACGCCTTCACATGCCTTGTCAGTACTGTAATAATAAATCAGAAGTTTTCATGGTTTATATTTGTGTGTATGTTTCTCTCCAGTGGGCCTATATTATATAGTCTTATGTATATTATTTTTCAGCTTGGTCTTGAACGATTCCATAGCGTAGCAATCCTTGGATTTAATTCTCCAGAGTGGTTCATCTCAGCTGTTGGAGCTATTTTTGCAGGGTAAGATTTTTTTGGGAGGGTTAATTTTTGTGGAGGATTTGGGAATTTCTGTTTTTCTAGGTCTGGGAATGTATCAGGTCAGTATTTAATGTCATATCTTGGAGGTTGTGTTGCTACTGATTGGCAGTTTCAGCAACCTGCTTGAGTCTTAAATCCCAAATAGTTCAGACACTCATAAATGCATCCTGTTTGCCGTGGGCTTAAGCATGACAGTCACACAGAAGCTGTTGTACAGGATCTTATAAATAGAAGATGTGGAAAATAGATGATAATCAGTTTTATTTTAATGATAATAATACAATATTAATGATATCTACAGTAAGATATATTCAAGCAGATGAAGTAATATATGGCTATTAACTACCCTGATTTCTTCTGTCCTGATACCTGTTAATTTGGATTTTACTTCTTAAGCTGCTCTGTACCAATGAAATCCAAACTGGTATCTGTGTACAGCTTAAACAAAAAGAGGACATAAGTGAGGATTTTTTTACCACTTCCTGAACTAACTCCTCGAGTGAGTTAAAATACTGAATCCTAGCATCTTCTACTGAATAGTTTAGAGAATAGTTTTTGCAATGTGCGTAAATCAGAGATTTATGTATATCTGAATATGTGAAGCAAACATTAGAGCTGTCCTGCAGTTTTCTTCCACATCTTCATACCCCTTCAGGTTTCATCTGATCTTTGATTATTATTCTCTTTTAATACTACATGCATGTATTGTGTGTGTATGCATATAAATGTATGTTCTTATCTATATAAATTTTTTGATGCAGAGGAATTGTCACAGGAATATATGCAACCAATTCTCCAGAGGCCTGTCACTACATTGCCCATGACAGCAAGACTGATATCATGGTTGTGGAAAATCAGAAACAGCTGGACAAGATAATGCAGGTACAAGGTGGCTGAATGATTACTGAAAAGCCACAATTTTTCATTTTTCGATGCTGTGTTGGTCCCAAATACCATGTACACTCTCTGTATCGTGAAACCTTTCTTTGTGAAGTGTGTGTTGTTACTCAGAAATCTGGTATATGGTGTGAGAGCTCGTGGGTGGCTCTGACCCTGTGCAGTGCCTGTGACTCAAGCAGAGAACTCACTGGATGGTTCACTGCAGGCTTACCTGGAAAAACCCAGATTTTGATCCTATGTTTTTACTGTCACCGCCCAATTCTGTTTGGAAAAGCACAGTCCACTTGAATGGAAGAGATTATGCTGATGCAGGTTTGTAAAGGTCTACTATTTAAATATTAAGGATGTCAGTGTTCAGAATTTTCTCTTTCCAAGGTATCATTTCCTGCTCGTAATATCAGCCATTAAGGCTCTTGAGTTTACTGTACTTTGGTAGCATCATGGTTAACATGAGAGAGAGCTTAGTGAGAAAGCCTTCTTTTAAGTGAACAGTCTCAATTTTGACAGAACTCTTGGGCAGCTGGGCCTGTCTTTCAGCAACAGCACCAGATGGAAAGACCAGTCTGATGGCAAGGTGACTTGGGAGAGGAGCACAGGCAGCTCTTGGGAAGGGCTTGCGTGTCTGTCAGATGTTGAGGGAGGCCTGTGGACTCATCAAACTTGCATGAAATGGCACCGTTTGCTGAAGCAGGAGGGCTCTCCATGATGGAGCTTTCTGCCAAGACCACGTACCTGCAAGAGAAAAAATATGCAGTGGTTTTTTTTCCAAATGCATTTAATACAAGTTGTTCATTAATTACTTTATATTTTTTGTTTTATATGCAATATGGAGGAAGAGAGATTTTTGTAAGTATTCTATAAAAACGCACAGTCAGATAAGTGTTCTTGCAGTGTCATTGACACAATACCAGGCTATGCTATTGTGAACAGGAGAGAAGAATCCAAATGGAACAACTCAAGGGGTTTGGTTCGCACACATTATGTAAAAAAAGAGAGCTCTGGCCAGCACTGCTTTATCCAGCAGGGGATTTTTTTAAACTTTTTTTCTGGAACCCAAGACTGAAATAATAACATCGCAATTGCTATCCTTCTAATAATATGTACATACTGGCTACCATCAAGCCACTGCTTTTGTATTGGCAAAATTCAGTGCACAATGTGATGGACTGAATGGTGTTTGTGAGGCATGGGTTCTCACAGAATTCAGTGAAATCAATGCTTTCTGTAGGCCATGCAAAGCACACAAAGAGCTGTTGAAAGCAGCAGCCACTGCTATCTGCCTGAAAGCCTGCAGCTTTAGATTTTTATTTATCCTTACAATGTGCATACAGTTTCCTTTGATTTTTTCCTTAAGGAAGTTGAACTTTTTTTAGTACTTGAACTGTTATGGTTTTTGCTGAGGGACTTTACTGGTAATCATAGGCCCAGGTCAGCTTCTAACTTGACCAGCACTGTTCCTTTATGTGTCCTTTTGTGCATCATGAGAAATGATGCTGAGGAGCTATTTCTGGTGTATTTTTCATTTTTTAAACCTTTTGACTGAAACTAGATTTCCTGGAGCAGACTGTGTAGTCTCTGTAGACTATGTAGTTCCCTCTTCCTTCCCCCTGCCTCTAGTTGAGCTGGTTGGTGATGAGTTTAGGGGAGAATATTTGGAGTTGAAAGGAAATGGGAGGTTTTTGTGCCTGTCAACCCATTACAGTTTTGGCAGCATTAGAGTGGATAAAAGCCCACACAAGATATGAATAATCAATAACTTTGTTTTAAAAAATGCAACAGATCTGGAATCGGTTGCCCCACTTGAAGGCTGTGGTGCTATATAAGGACTCCATTGCAGAGAGACATCCAAATCTGTACATGGTGAGTGAATACTAGAACAGAGGCATAATCAAATAATGCATGGGGTTATACCCATGTATTACCGGTTAATACGTGGGCTGTTATTTATTTGATCAATTTCTACTGTGATTATCTACCATTTAGAAGGCATTGCTGTGTTCCAGCAAACACATTCAAAAGCTTTATCAGCTTTTTCTGTTCGATTTACCTTTGATACTTCATACTTAAGAGAAGAGCTACCTTGCTTTACTGACTGTCTCGTGTCTTCCTAATTTTTAACTTGACTGGTGTTTATTAAAACACCTGTAGGTTTTAGGTGGGATTGTGTACTCTCAAATGATTAAAAAAAAGTTGATCCCTGGTGCCTGTGAATTTGGTAATTTTTTTTTTAATCCTGTATTTTAACTGGACTACAGATCAGATTTTAGGCTGAAAAACTTCAGCTGTTGAAAAAATATATTGAAGAGAAATATAATGTATTCAGTATATAAAAATATAATTAACAGTGAACAGCATAGAAATATTTTAAAATACTTGCAATTTTGATAAGAAAAAAAGTCTGCTGTGCCTTTTTTTAATATCTTGCATGTAACTTAATAAAATGTTATTGTTCCAATACTATACATACTGGTATAGAGCATGCCTTGCATCTTGTACAATAAAAATGTTAATACAAAAATGATCCTACTGTTTAAAAATATTAGGTGCTAGCATTTAATTCTTTAACAACCTGCACTTATTGAAATCTAAATGTGTGAGAATTGCTGTATTTTTAAACACTGGTTTGGTGTTCAGGTGTCATGTTGGACATTTTCTCAAAGGAGCAGGGTAGTTGTGGGTGTCTGACAGATGCCATAGTTTATGTCATCTAAAGGAAAAATCCGAGATCAGATCACCAGAGGCAGCAATGATTGTTGCTGAGGTGTGATGCAGAGCAAACCACCAGCCCATGCGGTGTTTGATGAAAGGCATTTGTGCCATGTGCTAAGTGGCAGCAGGGGCAGAGCTGGCTGAGCAGTGCATCTTTCCAGAAGGCAAATGCAGAGTCAGGAATGTGGTGTGACTGTTTCTGTACCTTCCACACATGCTGGAATGCCAACACCATCTGTTGCAGGTGCTGTTCAGTAAACAAAGCCTGTGCAACAGATTCTCAGTGATCAGTGCATTCCACTGAGAGAATGCAGTATGGTCAGGAAAACAGGAACAACTGCTTAGTGGCATACGAACAATTACATCCTTCACACCACCAAGCTTTCCAGGAGCTTGTGAAATTGAAGCAGCCACATTCTGTGGAGAAGCAATAGAATGTGACAAATCCCTGACTTGCTACAGAGCTGTGCAGTGCCTCTCTTTTCAGAAATGTGGCTTGTTGTGCCCTTTTGGAGAAAGGAAGAAAGTATAAAACTGATAAATAATCCTTGGGACAGCCTTGACACCCAGGAAAAGGAAAGGAGTTTAAGGTGCCACAGATGCTGACTATTGTAATCTTAGTAGCCCAGTGGCAATGCCAGATGTCTGAAAGAAGAAATTAACTACCCTCAACCAGAGGCTCTCCTTTTTTACCTCTGTTTTTCTGCTTTTTGCTTTGTGGTCTTAGATACAGCTCCAAGAAATTGCTCAAAAATGAAGGTTCTGCACCTTGGATTTAAATATTAGACTACTGTGGCACAGTATGAATCACATGATTGCAATGGGAAACTGACCATTTGGTTATCAATTTTATTTAAAAATTCTGTGATTCAAGTTTCCAATTAGCATTGCAAGCAATGTTACACTTAACAGCACATCAGGGGTGTGCAACAGAAATATCGGGGAGCAACCCATATAATACAGAGGAGCAGGTTCAGGATTCTTCTAGGCCAATTTGTGTGGCACAAAAGTCCAGTGTCATAGAAGTTTTATCTCACTCTAGAATGAGCCAAATTTGAATGGAAGTTGTGACCAGCATCATCATATCCTGTAAAAGAGCACAAAATTTGGGCAAACATTCACACATCTATATAATGATGTTTTTGCAAAGAAGCTTTTGTTCAATTGCTTTATAGTTTAGTTTATAGAGTGTACAATGAATTATAGATGGGCTGTCACAAGTGTACTCTTAAAAATGATACATCCAGATTCATTTAAATAATACTCAAAATCATTTTTACAGCGTGAGAATGTAACAGAATTTTAGCCTCCATAGTATTCATGTTGGAGGAGGAAGAGTATTACTGTTCCTTCTTAGACATTGAAAAGACTCATGACAGCAGAATTTTAAATAGTCTGTTTGCAATTCACACATTAAGCTATAAGATAGAATCACCGTATTTCTTCCATAGCCAAGGTCTGGGGAAACTTGCCTTGGGCAAGTGTTCAGAACAAGGCACTGAAATATTCTAACATTTTTGAGACAGGAGAAATGGAGTACCATGTCAATTTGTAGAAAGCCATTTGGTACCCTGTATTTTCTGCTCCATGTTCTAGATGGAAGAGTTTCTGGAGCTGGGAGATGACATCTCTGACAGTACTTTGGATGACATTATTAACTCCCAAAAGCCAAATCAGTGCTGTGTTCTGATATACACCTCCGGAACAACTGGGAAGCCAAAAGGAGCCATGCTGAGTCATGACAACGTAGGTACTTTAGGTTCCTACTGTAGTGGAGAAACAGCAAAGTGTGGGGATATTTATTCCTGTGCTTTGAAATGGCTGGTAGATCCTAGAGCCCTGAAATGCTTTTGCTTTTACAGCATGGATAGTGTACTGCAAAGCAAAGTGCAGTCAGCTATTTCTGGTAAAGTTCAAACAAGGTAAAGAATAAAACTCCATTCAAACAGCCATTCACAAAGTTGAACATTTCTTTATGAAAATTAAATTTTTATTCACTGTATTTCTTGTGAGATCTAATGCATTAATTCATAAATGTAATTCACAGATTGCCATCAAGTCTCTCAAATGATGTCATAGGTCACTATGAAATGAGCAAATCATATACATCAGCCAGCTACTATCAAAGCAGCCTGATGGACTGCTTTTGCAGATTTTATTAAAATTGGGGGTGGATGTGTGGATTTTTTACTTTGATGCCTTTTGTTCTTGGACTTGTATTCAGGTTTCTATGTCTGTCACTGGAGGATAATACAACTCCAGTGCTCAGTGCTGGTGCTGACAGTAACCCTACCTCTGTTGCTGCAAACAGAAAATTTCCAGTTACAGACAAAAGCAAAGTTGGTTGCTCAAAGGACTTTCCACAGACTTGGAAAGATGCATGTTTGGTGGCTGAGCAGGAGTGGAAGGTGTTAGGGAGCCTTTCTGAATACATAGAAAATCTGTGAAAAGGGATGGTCTAAGTTGAGGCATCACCCCTTAAAGCAGAAATTATTGCAGACGTGCACAATGTGAAAACAGCAATTCACCCAAATATAGGGAATTAGTGCACTAGTACCTGGAAGCAGAATATAATGAATTTGGAAGACAAAAAGACTGATTTGATGTTACAAATTTATGCTCTTTTATATCAAAGGAGTCTGGTGTCATTTCCATGCCAGCTGCCAAACTATTCTTGGCTGCTGATCACAAACAGGCTATTTTTATGTTGACAAACAGTGGAAAGCATGCCAAACCTGCAGCTCTGCTGCTGCCTTCTTTAGTCAAAGATGTTTGCCACTATTAATGTGCAAACCAGTGCTGAATCAGTCGTTCATGACCCTCACAGGTCTGCTGGGAGTGTGCCTGTGTGCTCTGAAGCTTGAAGTAAAACAATGAATTTAGACACGTCTTAAAAACATCCTGTTCTTCCTACTGTACTTCCTCCCATAGCTGCTTGTTCAGTGCTGCCACCTAAACTTGGATGGCCTGGCCTGGTAGCATGCTGCTCCTTAAAACCCTCTCTTGAGAATCTCTATTTCCTTAGGCCAAGCCTACACTTGTACCTTCTCATTTATTACAAAGGCATGTGCTCTGATGACAGGAATACATGTGGTTTATATCTACACTCTGTTATCTTGAATACTCTCATTTCTGTATCCTGCACTACCCAGTTTAGATTACAGACTCCTCTGGGAGAGAGTTGTTTCTTTTTGTTGCTTGGGGTTTTCTGTTTTTCTTGGGTGTTTTTTTTTTTTTTTGGGGTGTTTTTTGTTTTGGTTTTTTTTTTTTTTTTTCTGATCCATTGTCTCTTACACCATCACATTTATATTTGTCTTCCATATACTATGTTGTGATGATGAAGATACGCATATTTAGCATCCTTGAACTGCATCTTCTGAGATAAAGTGGGAAATAGGAAGAAAGAGGGGGAAACATCATCCAGGTTCACTAAGAAGTCAAGCAACACAACTTCAAAACTATTCATGTATGTGCTACCTCTCATGAGAGGTGGGGGTGTGTATGTGTCTCTTGGGAACCACTGCAGTGAATATCCCAGAGGCTTCCAGAGGAATGGAGTACAGCTGCTATCTTCCTCCTGAGTGTTTAGCCACGGGATGATAGCAATGAACTTGTGGCTGATACTAAGTTGTCCTTTGAGCTCACTGATCACTGAGTATTTATTGTTCCTTTTCTAACTTGCAGATACAGCACTGGCGGAAGGTGCCAGTTTAATAGACAGCCTGCAGAGCTGGAGAGTTGGAAAGGAAGGGACAGATCAATTTGTTTCTCGTCCATCCAGCCCATGGCTGCCTGGCTGAATGTGTCACTAGGGCATGGGGAGCTGCTAGTGTTCACAGCCCAGTCAGGCTGCACAAATGCTGTATTTACTTATGTTATCTGCTCTTCTGTATTGCTGCAAAGGTAATCTGGCTTTTGGCAGTGTCCCCAGGGAACTGATAGACTGGTGTGTGGTCAATATTGCAATGTCTTTCTGTGAGACAGATTTTCCTCAGTTTCATTAGGATAACCATTAAGAGGAAAAAAGGAGAAAAACCCAAACTAAAATCCCAACCATACCTAATGTGTTGTATTATTTATTTAAACAGATAACTTGGACATCAGCCCATTGCAGCAGAGCAGGAGGTATGCAACCTGCAGAGGTCCAGCAGGAATCTATAGTCAGTTATCTCCCACTCAGCCATATAGCTGCACAGATCTATGACCTGTGGACTGGAATCAAATGGGGAGAGCAAGTTTACTTTGCTGAGCCAGATGCTCTAAAGGTACATTGTCTTGCATTACATATTATTAAGATTACACTTCTTTCTATTAGAAAACATCCCAAGGAGAGAATATGATATTTGAACAGTTGTAGAATATGGAGAGTCCATTATTGTAAGAATTATAGAAAAATAAAGCTCATTGTATTAGTGATCCAGTGCTCCAGATTCTAATTAAAATACATAATTCATATCCCTAAGGGTCTTTTAAGGCAAAAAACGTATTAGCAGTTTTTGGAGAAAAGGGAGGCTGGAGAAACTGACCATGTGTGTTTTTCCTCCTTGTGTCTCTTTTATCTCTGTTGTGTTTCTTTTGTTGAAATTATTTCATTATTATAACAGGGCAGCTTGATCAACACACTAAAAGAAGTGCAGCCAACATCTCATATGGGAGTTCCCCGAGTGTGGGAGAAAATCATGGAGAAATTAAAGGATGCTTCTGCTCAGTCAGGATTTATGAAAAAGAAAATGCTTTCCTGGGCTATGTCACTTAGCTTAGAGAAGAACCTGCATGGCTCAAACAGGTGTGTAGTACAGTGAGTGAGATTTCCAGCAACCTGAAAGTAGCAATTTACTTGTAATAAACCATGAAGCCTCGGTTGAGACTCTTTGTATAAGTGGGTAAAATCTGGCTTGGCAGCACAGCAGATACAGTGCAGGGGGGAGGGTGTAGTTATAAATTATTATACAATGAAGTGGGGGAAATTGCTTGTGAAGAATGGTATTCCAAAATATCATTCCATGATATTCCTTTGCTCGTCTTATCATTCAGTTTCTCAGATAGATCTTAGAAATTTCAGCTTTCAGTGGTGTATGTTCTCAGAGACACATTCAACTGATAAAAAAACAGGAATACAAGAGCTGTATTGCATACAATATGTATTTATAGATTCTTCATGTATTTGTTGAATTCAGATACCTCAGGAGTTGGAGGTAGGAAAGCTCCAAAGGTAAGATAAGCAAAAGACACCAAATAAATTAAAGAATGTGTCACCTTTCTAACTTCTGTCAACACCCAAAACCAAATGACAAATACATGTCCAAACAAAATCTGTGCCTGATTTTGTTTTGAAAACTTCCTAGGTTGCTCTGACTTACTTGTGTATTTTGTACTCAGCAGTGATCTAAAGCAGCTCTGGACAAGATTAGCAGACTACTTAGTGCTTGCAAAAATCCGTAGTGCACTGGGGCTTTCTTCCTGTCAGAAGCACTTTTCTGGTGCTGCTCCTCTCAGTACAGAAACGCTGTGTTTCTTCTTGGGTCTGAACATCACCCTGTATGAGGCCTATGGGATGAGTGAGACCACAGGCCCACATTGCCTGTCTGGGCCTTACATTTACAGGCAGCACAGGTAATTTTGCTTTTATTACTACTTTTTAAATATGATCTGTTTAATTTTATCTACGAAAAGAGTATTTACTAAGGTCAGCAAAGATACTACAACTTAATTTATTTTCCCTGAGTGCATTTGCACTCTGTTGTGACTTTGAGAGTCAGAGTAATTTTCAGGTCAGAATTTGAACAGGTTGACTCCATAGCACACTGTGCCCGGAGCACTGAAACTGAGTTGCAGCATTATAGCCAAACACAGTGACTACATCTGACATATACCCTAGCCCTTGCCCAAGAGAGGAATGCAAGGCCTCAAAAACAATAATATTTTGAAGATACAGGGGGAAAAGCAATAAGCACAGGCCAAGACAGACTGCCAGAAAGTGCTCACACCCTGACAAATCTGCCCTAGTGAAGGAGTAGTCCATGGCTGTCGGACAGTTACAGCATGGTAATAATTGCAGTCACAGATACTTTTACAGTTTCAGGGATTTGGCACGTTGGCCAGCTTATCACTATTATGTCTGATGTTTCTGTGATCCTTGTGAGGTTTTTCTACTCTTCTCTGGTAGCTGTGGTAAGCCAGTACCTGGATGCAGAGTGAAACTGGTGGACAAAGATACAGAAGGCAATGGAGAAATCTGTTTCTGGGGAAGGACTGTTTTCATGGGTTATCTAAATATGGAAGACAGAACAAAAGAATCCTTTGATGAGGAGGGGTGGCTGCATTCTGGAGATTTAGGAAAGCTAGACAATGATGGCTTTCTCTATGTCACTGGAAGAATTAAAGGTAACAGGCAAAACCTTGCTCTCTGTTTATGGTAAATGTTCAGCACTATTCGGTCATCTCTCAGTTGTAGACCATCTAATGAAGTGTCTTTCCTCTAATACCAGAAGCATTGCCCTAACAGGAAGGTAAAATAAACTTTCCTATGAGAAAACTACAGTGTGCTTTATGTTCAGGGAAGGTTTCCCTCTACTCTGAAGTAGGTAGAGATGATTCAGTTCCTACAACCAGGTTTTTTATCTCCCACACCTTCACTCAGTATAAATTACAATTAACAATTTAAACTAGTAACTCAGGTTTAATGTGTCTTGTTTGATTTGAATGATATCATGAAGCTGTCCAGTCTCCCTTTGAATCTTGCCAGTGTCTTAATTGCACATAAGAATGTTTAGGCGGGATGGAGAGGCACCCTCTGCTACACAGAAATTGTTGCTGTAGGTCAGAGGTTGGTTCCTCTGGTGTCTTAGGTTAAGTGTTCACAGAGACCAGAGCTGAAGCTTGAGAGCTGAAGGGAAAACTACAGTTGAAGCACTGGCTGAAGGCTCACGAGACTGAGACTAGTCACTTGCTGACTTGGAGGCTTTCTTCATGATATGTATTCAGACAGTGAAATTGGTCACAGGCAAGATGTAACTGAGGAAGATTTAAGAATTGAGTAAATATAATCTTAGAACTTAAGATGAATTACTAGGGAGATAACACAGATGAGTGAATTTGTCACAGGTGGCATCATGCCCTGCTAAGAATCAGGACTGAAGTTGGTACTATTAATAGCCTGGACCAAATGCAGCTTGATTTTAACTTGTTTTCTTGTCTGATTTATTTTCCTTTAGCACAGCAGTAACAACCCCTTGTCTCAATTCATAACATTTGTGTTTCTCTTATACCTGTCTGGATTGCTGAACTAATAGCAGTTGTTCTAAATTACAGGATAGGTAGACAATCTGGGATAAAATAACCGTATGTCCAGTTTCATTGAAGTTTTAAATCCAAGTTCAAATAAGGACAATGAAAAACTAAGGGCCAGAGAGATTGGTAGAGGATCTGAGACAAAGACAGGAGTATTACAAAAGGAGGGTGAAATGAAAGGAAAAGTTAGACCTAGAAAAGTGTGTCTCTGTTATTTGTTGAAGCATGTTCTGAATTGCTGCAAAGACAATTATTTGAGCACAATTGGAAGTCACCAATATAACAAAAGCAAAGAATTGGAATTTACTCAAAGAATACTCAAGTTTGTAATAATTTCATTGAATATATGTATTCAGAACAAATGTTGCTCTTATCAAGACTTCCTGCAGTAGTAACTTAGTTTTGTCTGACACCTCTTGTTGGATTTAAGAAGTGGTTTTAATCATGGCAACAATCAACTTGCTTTTTGGTGAGATAGCAACAGTAGAATAGTAGGTGAATCCTGTGCTAATTTGGAAGAGATGATATCTCAAGGAAAAATTCCTATTATGTAACAGTCCCTTGAGAATAAGCTGTTACTCAAGTATTTAAAAAATATCTGGAGCAAATATACTGTGAGAGATCTGATAATTGAGCATGTGTTTGAAAAATAGTAGCATTTTTGTTTTGAAGATAATTAATAGGATTTTTGGTATTTGGAAAATATTATCTTGGAAAAAGAATCTTTTGTATTTTTTATGTCAGAATAAGAAGAGCGGATTGAGCCAGACATCAACCTGATCTCTGGAATTTATTTGAATTCAACTAATAGCCTTTCTTTTTTTGCCTAGATTTGATTATTACAGCTGGAGGTGAAAATGTGCCTCCAATCCCAATCGAAGATGCTGTTAAAAAAGAACTCCCAATTGTTAGTAATGCTATGGTGATTGGAGATAAAAAGAAGTTTTTGTCAATGTTCCTGACCCTAAAGGTAAACCAGTTTTAATATCAACTTCAGTGAAGTTATACACCTGCACCTAACAAAAGAATAATAATTTTAAACCATTTGTAAAAAGATCTAAAATTAGGTAGGAAGATCTTAGCAGGGGGCAAATACATGTAGCAACTACAGACAAATCCTGCTGGGTCTAATCTTAGGGTTACCTGGTCTGCTAAACATCCACATACTAATTGCTGTTTCTCCTACATATACAATAAGAGCTATTTTTTATTTAAATGCACATTTTTATATAAGAAATGCTGGAAGATTGAGAAGTCTTTGTAACAGAACACAATAGCTTTTATGTTTAGAGATGAGCAAAATCAACAAATGTTTCTGTTATGGGCAAACCCAGAAACCTTCCAACAAAAACATTTCTCTACAATTTGCTATTTTTATAACACAAGAATGATAGCCATTGAACAAAATAATTAATAGCCTTCCTGTGGTATAAGCATCAATTGAGAAATCACTATTCTTCTAAAACATCTGCACTTCAGTTCTGTGAACATACCTAGTGAATGCCACTTAGGTGAAGTTGTTTGCCTCTATGACTGATACTCTCTATCTTCAGGTACAATAGAAATACTAATTTAAGAAGTCTAGGAACTCTTTTTTCTCAAGCTGTTTCCATTACACCATAATAATTCCACTGAATGATGAGCTAAATGTTTCCCTGTAACAATGGGGTCATATGGAAAATATGAAATTCAAGGTCAGAGATGGACTCTATGGCCTAATTCATTCACACATTTTAATTCTGTTCATGACTTCTGCATATAAGCTGAAAATATTTGCATTTGGTAGCCAAGTGGAAAGAAAAGCCCTTTATGATCTGTAGGTGCTTCTGCATTTTAAGGCTTATGGATGTTTGTGTGTTTATACTGAGCCTTCTTCTCAAGGGGGAGGGCCTGGTCAGAGAACCTGTTAATGCCTTTTAAGAGTAAATGTTTAATGATTCACTTCATTTGAAATTTTAGAGTGTGCTGGACCCAGATACATCTGATCCTACTGACATTCTCACAGAGCAAGCCAGAGATTTCTGCCAGAGGAGTGGTAGTAAAGCCACCAAAGTGTCCGATATTGTAGCCACAAGAGACCAGGCGACCTACAGAGCCATCCAGGAGGGAATAGACAGAGTCAACAGCACTGCTACCAACAGGGTTCATTGCATTCAGAAATGGATTGTCTTGCCAAGAGATTTTTCCATTTCTGGGGGAGAACTAGGTAAGACTTACTGATTTATTTGAGGTACACAAAGTTAAGAGGCTGCTCATCTAAGAATATTCAATACTCAGGAGGAAAATATGGTTATGCAGTGTGTGGTAAGGAATACAAAAACTGGAGTTATTGCTGTGCACACATGTATGACTCTGTGCTCATTTGCATGTAGAGCTCTTAAATTTCAGATTGCTTTGGGTATTTAAGCAATTTTAGTTAATTCCATGTGCATTCCAGTATTTGTAACTTCAGTAATAATACTGAAAGTGATGCTTAGAATGGCTACCTAGAACAGAAGCTAGACAGAGTTAAAAGATAAAGGGTAGGTTTTTATTGAAAAGCCTTCACAAGGTACACCTTGGGCAGTGCAGGAGTCTCACAGAGACTACACCCAAGACCATCACATGTTGTTCAGACAGATGTAAGTTTGGTCTGTTTGCATATTGGAGGTTAATGTCCAGGTACAGCTTCAGGGAGTGGAGTCTCATTCCCCTAGTTTGGCCCCCCCTCCACTTCACTGTAGTTGACATTTTTCAGGGCCTGTGAAAATAAGGTGACTTTGGGTTTCAGGCCTAGAGAGAAACTGTTTTTTCTGAATAAAGTGGGAGAACAGTAGCTGACAGGCTATGGAGTTTGAGAGTTATACACTAAATAATCCTGATCTAGAAAATAAGGCATCAAAAGTTTCTCTTTAAAAGAAAAAAAAGCAGCAAGATAGTGAAAGCCTGATAATGGAGCCCAAAGCACATTACCTCTTAATAAACTGGGAATTGTTGAAAAGCTTTCAAAAACAAATTTTTAGTAGCCAGTTACCACCTTCTTTTCTGCAGCTCATGCTTATGTGGATGCAACCTCACATATCACACTTGCTTCTCACTTTTAGCATTTATCTGTGCTTAGAGGGGGGCATGTTCTTCCCAACAGGCTCTTTAATAAAAAAACTCAGGCACCAAAGCTCAAACTGAGCAGGAATTTTTGTTCCTATTTCTGGAATTGGTTCTCCCTCTTTTAAGGTCCCACAATGAAGCTGAAGCGGCTCGCTGTGCTCGAGAAATACCGAAATGAAGTAGACTCCTTCTATAAAGAATAAAAAGTGTTTCCTCCAAGCATTAAAAAAGATCTGTGAACAAAAGGAAGTATTTTCTCATCAACAGCATTAACAAAGATTTATGCTTTAAGTTTGTAGTCTATTGAACCACACTAGAAAGCTGCTGTCAATTTAGTTGTTCCTGATACTCACCTGATCATTTGTCCTTTTTATACAGAAGCATCTACAGTATGTCCATTCTCTAATACTTATTTTACTTTATGATCTTAATGATTAAAACATCTTTCTGTGTTGTATAAAGCAGATATAATTCCTCTAGATTGAAATATAACAAATTTTTTATAGTCTTCCATTTTTCTTTTTTTTTCTTTTGTTCTACAGGATGTTTTTTATAGCTCATGATATATTTTGCTAGATAGCAGTACTCCTTAATGAAACTATCATACCACTCCAGTGATAATTATTAAAAAAAAAATTACAAATCAAAAGGGGTGGGATTTTTTTCCCCTTCCCAAAGAACACTTGTTCACAAACACATTTCAGAACCTGAAGACACTCCTGTTTCTGTAATGCCTAGAATACAGACTTCTGTGAACACAGCAGTTCCACTTCTTAAGTCCATGTTGGAAAAAGCATTACTATTTTTCATAAAAACAAATAATCAGAAGTATGGGAATAGCTCCCTAAGACTGAAAGGAACAAAGGAATAACTACAGGAGCTCTCACATGAAAATGCTATTACAGAAACTTCTTTAAAATGATTTACAGTGCTTTTCTTTGAGCAGTGTATCTGCATGTTTCACATTGCACTAATTCTGACAAATGTGGACTGTGTTTCTTCTTACCCATATGCAAAATAAATCATATTATGAGAAGGAAATGCTTGGCACAAAGTTGTGTAAAGGGTGTGGTGTAAGTGATCTCTGGCAGACAGCTCTAGTAGCTCACACAGGCAAGGCAGGCCACAGCCTGTTATTGAGACAAAGAAATGATGCAGGACAGGATAAGGTTTCTATAAAAGTTCCATTACCAATCTCACACATCTTACAGAGCTAAGATTTGTTGCAAGTACCAACAATCAGCTCAGTATATAAGACAAAGCAGCAGCCTAGGATTATAAAAACAAAACGAGCGATAGGACTTTGAAAAGTTTATTCTTCCCCATTTTGTGCGCAATGGTAATTCAGAATTTCTTTAACAATATTAACCTTAAGGAAACAAAGAAGCAGCAGCTAGGAAAACACAGAAAGGAAGGTTGCACTATTCACAAAAAGCAGAATGTGGGAGGAATAAATCTCCTCCAGCATGTTGTAAGACTGTATAAAAAAGCTGGGATGCTTACTTTAGAGAGTGACATGAGAAGTTGTTACTCCGAAGTTGTTTTACTGCTGACACAACCAGCTCTAAACAGTTGTAATAGGTATTACTCCACTTAGTTTCTGTCTATGAATAGAACAAAGCTGTAAGAAGCCTGTTTCTGGCAGGAGGGATAATCCTGTGCTATACTAACGAGTTTGAAAATATGTATTTTCTTGTCAGGTGCAGGAATGGAAGCAATACCTTGATAGTTACAGATCAGAACGACTGGAGTGACAATCAGCATCTGATGGGGAGGGGAAGGGAGGGCAACAAGTCGCTTTTGCACCCATTAAGCTTAGTAAGCAAGTTAAAAATAGATTCAGATCCCCTTGAATAGGGATGAAATGTATTTCTGGAATATAGGCACCAGAGCCAAACCACTGATCTGCCTTAATCCATTTAGGACTTGTCTCTTACATTCAGTTTCTAGAATGAAATTACTAGTCAATACAGCAAGACACTCTGAACAGACTGTGCAGAAACAACACAAAAAGCATTCTAGCCAAAGTAAAGAAATATTTAGTGTAAATCTGCAGTTAATATTTTCCCCTCACAATATATGGTGGAAGTAATTTTGTATCATTTGCCCTCATTAGAACTCTATTGTAAAGTGTGCTTCAGAGAGGAAAACTTGTAAGAATTATTTTGGTATGTAGATTTGAAAAATAACTTTACTTCAGCACTAATTTTCAGCCCTTGTTAATGGCTGTAGGTTTTTTAAAATACAGAAATAGATTAAATCTCTAGAAGTTTGTATATCTTAATTCATGCCTTTTGTGGACAGGGCTATATTTCATGAATCACCAGAGTATTAAGGTGGGTTTCTTGTTGCTTCCAACACAAAATTACTATTTTAAGATACTTTATACCCGTTTCTGTGCATGAAGATCATCTTGTGCTACTCCTAGGCTGAAAACCTATCTTTTTAATTTCAATAAGATCAATAAAGTAGGTTTAAACATTAAGGTGCACTTATATTTCACTAATCTGTTACTGGTTTGTTTGTACTGGTTTTAATTTTTCTATGTGGAAAGTAAAACCCTCTAATTGAAATGAAAAATTATTAGACAGTTACAGTGTCAGTAAAGGAATTCACTTACATAAAAATGTTCACCAGGTAGAAAAAAATAAATAAAACAAAGCACTTGAAAAAGTCCACTGAAAGCAGGCACAAGCATCATTTGTAGCCATTTGGACTAGATTTATTAATGGAGAGGCCTCAGCTAAAAAGTTTGCTCTCAAGACATAAGCAAACTCTATGCATGTGGATATCAGGTTACATATATTGTACTCTGTGACATGTCCTTCCAGAGTCCTCAGCCGGAGGAGAAGGAGGTTTAGTCTTTGTCCCGTACTCGGCGGCAGATCTCCTCTGTGAATTCCGAACACTTGGCATTGCCTCCCAAATCTTTTGTCAAGATCTGAAAGAAAGAACGAAAAAATAATGTTACTGAAATGTATTACAGGGCCAGTCTTCTCTCTGAACAATTCTGGATGTTCTCATGATATGTTGTCTATAGATGGTAAATAAGATGAGCAGGAATACATCAAGTTTGAGTTCTGCATCCCATAGAGACTTCATCAATAAGGACTGTGCAGGGAGAGAAAGCCTGAGTATACATGAAATACTTATAATGTTATCAGATTTGAAGGTGAATTTTACATGATTTTATCCTAACTACAGGAATAAAGTGTGTGTGGTCAAAGCTCTACAAAGTGCTTTAATGGTGTAATTAATGATTAAGTATTTACATCTTCAGTAAGAAGTTTGTCCTTTGGAAGTAAAATTCATATATGAAGGCTTAGCACAAGGACAACTAATTGAGAGTAATTCAGAAATACTGGGTCTTTTTTTTTAACAAAACCCATGCAGAACAACCACATGTAACTCTTAATGCTGCATGTTAACAATTCTCAAAATTTGCTTCATTTATTTAAGACAGAGGAAATGTAGAGCTCAAAATCTCTTTCATCAAGTACAACTCCTGTCTGGCATCATGAAGCTAGTAAAATAAAAATAAAAAAGTGGGCAACTTTTTTGCCCAACCATTGCTTGTCCAACCTAGCTAGAGGTAATTAAAATTTTTAAGTTTCCCTTCCATACACACAGATCTTAATTAACTGTTGAGGAAAAAAGAGGAAGAAGAAGCAAAACAAGCAATCATGGTTGCTATTTTAGGATCTTGTAATTTAAATTGCCTGGGCTTTTGAATTAAAAAGACTCTCCATTGTAAGTATATAATCGTAACATTGTAAGTAGCCATGTCAAAAAACTTGCACTGTTATCTTCCATGGAATCAGTGATCTGCAGATGGAGGATATAATTTCCAGAGCAATAAATGGGAACTTTGCGGGAGCACCTCTTTATTCAGTTGTAAGTTTAGATTTTTTTTTAACTGGCTCCTACATACAGCAAGATAGCTGCAAACTCACAAAATGATGACAACTTTTGGTTTCAGCATTCTTGTTACTTTTAATTACATAGCAGCTTCTCATGGTGCTGCCTAAAATAAATGAACCAGCATGACTAGCTAATCCTCTTTAAGAGCAATCTTCAAAATCTTTCCAACTATGTTTTCAAGAGATGGACATCAATGTGGAAGAGTGAACCAATAATGGTAAGACCACAAATTTGTCAGGTTGCAGAGCACAAGCCCCCTCTTGCTCCCAGTATCCCATTTGAGTCATTAATCTGAAGACACTCTCTTCCAAAGAGAAACATATGCAATCTTCAGAGAAAAAAGATAATACTGGATAAAAATTGTTCTTTTGTAGTCAAAAACGAGTGAAAGCAGTAAGAATGAAAAATGAAAAATAATTAAGCTGAAAAAACAGAAACAGAAGTTTTACAGTCAGAACTGAAATGCTATAAACAAAGTGGATGATGAAGCCTGTGAAAGGCAAATGAGTGTCCTTCACTTTTTTCAATATTTCATTGTATGTCCTTTGTAGGTTTCATAAATTTCATAAATGAAATGCTAAGAGTTACTTAAAACTCTGATCCACTTCTTGAAAAACAGCCATCCAGTTTCTTATTCTGCAGTTCATAAAGCTGTGGATATGTAAGATGAGCATTGCTGAGACAAAAGGAATGCTACAGTCTCTCCCCTTATTACTGCAAGGCATATTTAATGTCACCAAAGATAATATAATTACTGTCAGAGAAGGACAGTGGCACTGCTCATGCAACAGGCCAGCTCAGCAGGCCATCCCCCACTCTGGTATGAATCTTCCACATTAATTCTTGCTTTGATATGATATGATTTTAATTCAGTGCATTTATTTGCACACCCTCATGTTACCTTTCCATCTTTAATTGTATCGAAGCAAGCTGACTCAATCTTTGTCGCATATTTGTGCATTCCCATGTGGCGCAGCATCATCACAGCACTCAGAAGGAGGGCAGTTGGATTTGCCATGTCTTTTCCTGCAATGTCTGGTGCTGTTCCATGAACCTAGAAATGAGAGTAAGCCTATCTGTTATGTCATTAGGGCTGATTAAAATGTCCTAGGGAATTGTGCAAGCAACCTGAGCCACAGGTCTTCATGTTAAAACAGGGCTAATTTTGCTGTGATACAGTCAGTGGAAAGGAGATACTAAGGACCAAAACAATTCCACTCAAAGACATCAGAAAGGGAAAACTAAGTCATCTAATACCTTTAAGTTGAGCCCATCAAGTTCTACTTCATAGAGTGTATTTATCATACAAAAAAGTTGGAAAATAAAAGTATTGGTCAAAAAAAGGATGTGCAACAAAACCTACATGGCATATTTACTTTAACCAATCTCTCAGGGTAAAGCTTGAGTATCTTCACAGTATAAAAGAGTTCTATGAAGATATTTTTTAGCTAAATGTCAACCACATTGTATGGCATGGAGAAGTTTAGATTCTCAAGTTGAGACAAAGTTATTACTGATCTGTCTTTGTGTGTAACAAGACTTACTGATTCAAATATGGCCACGCCGTTGGCACCAATGTTTCCACTGGGTGTTACTCCAAGACCCCCAATGAGTCCAGCACACAAGTCACTGAAAAAACCCCAACCAACAAATTAAACAATCCATGAGTTTTTCCATATACAGTATCTTCTCTGCAAGGTATTAAAATATTTTGGTTCATCAATCAACTGCAACTATAATTTAATTTATACACCTGTACAGTTTGAGATTAATATAGAAAAAGAACAGATGCTGTTAGTCATTGGAAAAGTCTTAGAACTTAGCAGAAGATATTGTAATAAAGGAAAATTAAAAGGAAATTCCAAATACTATACTAAAGCTCATAAAGACACAGGCACAACAAGAAGTACTAGCAGCACAGCATATGTGTAGAAGTCTCAAAAATTAATTGTTATATACAGTTCCCTGTAATTATACAAAAATCTTACTTCCTCTGTAGGGGCCCAGAACTACTTTTCATATGTAAATTCCTTCTAAAAAATGTGGAGGAATTTTGCTCAGGTAGGTGAGTTACTGGTTGTTTTGTAGTGTACTGTGTGCAGCTTAAGGAACATTTTCCAAGTGACACCAGACTAGCTTTTCCCCTTTTTAGTCAACAGCCTGCAGGTCACAAGTCTGACATTAGCAGATCATCAGATATAAGCATTGGTTTCCACCAAAATTAACATGGGGAATGACAATATTGTCATCATACAAGCTGAACACACTGATTAACAAAGCTCTTAAAACTCCGTTATTTTCACATCCACACATAATTACTGCCTACAAACTTGGCTCATACTAAACTAAGTTATTCCTTAGCTTAGAACTAACAAGGAGAAAAATTTGGATGACTTTGCAGTCATTATTTTAGCTTAATATTTTAAGCTAAAATAAACCACTTTAAGTTACGAAAGGTCTGGGGAAAAACTGACTACAGTCTGCATTTGTCACTCTAAATATTTAATGCTTAAAGAGAAGAGATTGTCTTCTGCCTATTCAGATGGATTCAGTCTAA